TGTGGTTTTTTCAGAAAAATTGTGGACTGGAAAAGATCATAATATCTTTAGGAAAATTTCAGAGTAGTATTATTTCTAAACTTCCATAGTATTTTAGGACAATTTTTAGGTCTGTGAAAAATTCTTGCTGTCTTGAATTTTTTGGGCCTGGAAAACAAAAGGGGCCACAAAATAAATAAATGTATTATTTTCTATTAATTAGAGCTATAATCAATGACATTTTCATTGACCAGTAAAACATGATGTATAAGTATTTTACGAGCATTTTTGGTTTAAATTCTGCATTTTATTTCTGATTTTATTCTCTAGACTCTTACTATTTGCATTTATTTTAAAAATAAGTCGAAAACATTTATCAATTAAATTAAAACTAATCTTATTGATTAATCATTTTTGCTCGTAATCTTGATTTTTTTGATCAAACTTCTTCAATTCCAAAACTGCTGTAAATTGGAAATTTTTTTGGAGACGATCAGAATATTCTCCATATCTAAATTTTTGTTTTATCTAAAATTTTATTTATTCAAAAAACTCACAAAGCCAATAGCCCCATGTCACTTGTTCACCATCAAACGCATGGTTGACTATTCTCTGATCGAGGATCCCACATTCACCAATCCAAAATTTTATTAAATTAAAAAAACTTTTTTCCTATACATACCGGAACTTGCATTCCATCGTGCGTAGTATTTATGACATATGCAGGATTAAAAAAAGGAATGTTTGTATCGTTTAATACATATTGTTTATCGACCAAAAGTTTACGAAGCACCTTAATTAACATTACCCCAGGTGTTATTCGAATTGTATGACGTTTCATATGTTAAACGGTTCGAAAAACAAAACATTTTTTGCCACAACTTTATTTATGACACGCCATATCATAATTTAAGTGAGTACATCAACAACTTAAAGTTACCTTATTCATACCAGCTTTACCACGTTGACACAATGCAACCCAAGTATTATGCGTATGAATGTGTTGTCTGTTGCTGCCTCCCATGACAGATCCACCAGCACCAGATTCAACTTCATTAAATAAAGGTTCATTTCGACGACCTTTGTATAATTCCTGTGCTGTGTAGCTTCTTACGACTAAATATATTAACTTAGTTAGGTTTAAAAAATATAAATTTAATTTTTTATAATTGACTCCAAATTGAGTCAATTTTAATGAAATTTTCGAATTTATTTAATTTTTAATAAAAATATTTTATTAAAAATCTATTGTAAAAATTTTTAAATTTATTCTGAAGTTATAAAATTTCATTTAAAATTACCCCCGATTTGATGTAAGCAGGGGACATCACCCTTAAATTAAGAATACAAAATTTTGACTTTGATTTGACTATTTTTAAAAATTAACTTACCATATTTCGAACACCGCGGGAATATACATCACCAGCTACTGCAACATTTTTAAGGCCTCGTTCAAGTAAATCCGCTACATTGGCAAATATATTAGTCCGCAAATTGTAATGCTTGGTGATATGAAAGACATTCCCAGGAAAACGACGTGGATCAGATATTTCGATAAAAAGCGAATCAAAATTATAATTTTTATCAACAATTTTTGATTCACTGCCAAACACCGTAAAAATGGGAAGATTCGTATTCGGATTTCTGTAGAAAATAAAGCAAATTTAATTGGTTTAATTTAAAATAATTTTAATTATGAACGCATTTCTAATAAAAACTTTAATTCCGTAAAAATGATAAAATCTAGAACAATGCAGTATTTTCTGTACTTTTTCAACCATACTTCAAAAGGGTATTTATTAAGTTTTATTAAAGAGGGGAGCGATGGCTTTTATACAGAGAATACTGTAATATAATGTTAAAATAGAAATTTAAGTTTAAAATTTAAATTTACATTTCTTCCAAGAGTGTGGTGAAGACAACATTTTTCATAGTATTAAGCAGGTTTCCCTCTTGGTTAACCAAATTCTGGGGCATTGCGTCGTTGACAGCGTTCGTTAAATTCCAGAAGGTATGGGAAGGAAAATATGTTTGTCCATTAATTTCCAATATGTGAGGAATTAAGGCAAGTTGTGACGACATTAACTGAAAAATTGTTAGTGGTCTTTCTTTTCCTGCGAGGCAGGCGAAAATTTTGAGAATTTTGGAAGGCCAAGACGCCAGATTTTTTCAATTTTTTCCTCAGATTGAGTATATCTTTTTTGCGTTTTTTGCCTTAATTTGGGCCAAATTTACGCAAAACGCAATGCGACCACCCCTGCTTGAACAAATATTAGAACATTTTTCTTTTTTTTAACTTTTTTTAATTTAATGGAAAACAAACTTTTCTCTTTGAAAAAGCTTCCCAAACAAGTGTGTAAACAACGAAAGACGAAGTTAGAATATTTTTTATAAAATTATTTGTCCATCTTTGTTGCTGTATTTTTACTATTGTAATATCTTCATTACTTCTTAACATTTTATTTTCACATAGAAAATTAAAAGGAATTGTTGTAATCGTTGTTTTAAAAATATCAAAAATTAATTCAATTGGTATCATATTGGAGGTTGAGTTTAAAGGAAGAATTGGGTTGTTGTTTGGTTGGGAAGAATCAAAATTTAAAAAATTGTTTAGATTAAGAAACACACAAGAGACAAAGAAAAACTCTAGAAATTTAACATCAAGGAGAAATATTCCAAAAACATTCAAAAAATCCAAAACATTGAATTTAAATATTTATCAATATGATATTCTTATAAATAAATTAAAATATTGAGCAAAAATGTTAAAATTAGGGTTCCAAGTCTTAGGGTCCAAGTTATTTGTTTCGGACCTCATTTTTATTAAATCGGGACATCCGAGTCTTATTTCGGGTCAAAAATAAATCCCGATTCTATCTTTTGAACCGAACAGAACCGGCAACCCTAGTTAAAATAAAGAGAGGATTGGGAGAATTTTTCAACAAATTATTAAAAATAAAAAATAATTGAAAGAATCAGGAATTTTTTTCAAAACCAAAAAGTGTTGATCAAATAAATTAAACAATTTTTTTCAATGTCCCTTTTCCTTCTTATGTTTCTTCAGCCAACCCTCATTAATGTAAGCTTTACGACAGAAATTACACATAAAGTTTCTTTGTGTGTGTTGTTTTCTTTGATGTATTTTAAGTTTATCTGGTGATTCAAAAATAGACTTGCACCCCGGGGAATCACATAAAAATAAATTTGAAGTATTATTAATATTGTTGTTGTTGGTGGTGTTATTGTTGGGAGTGTTATTACTAGCATCACTAACCATTAAATTGGCCATTCGACTTGTTGTTAATACTAAAAAAATCAAAAAAAAAATTACAAAAAATCTTACATAAAAATTGGTAATACTTAGTCGCCCCCCTCCCCTCCTTTTTTCATTTTTTTGTTTCCATTTGTTTTTCATTTTATAGCAAATTTTATAGTTCGAGGTGAGTCGAATAAAAAAAATTCAAAATGCCTTACAAAGGCAAGCTTCATTATTTTGTTTTCAAGATGATCAAATCTAATCGATGATTGTGTCTTCGACTCAGCTCGAAGAGCTTTTTTTCAAATAATAACCATGAAAATGTAGAAAAAAGGGTGGGCGACTTGCAAAGTATTACCAAAAAAATTTTCCTTACACAAATCTTTGTGCCTTTTGTTTTTCCCATTATGTATACTCAATCCTCTTGGAGAAGAAAATTGCATATTACAAAGCGTACAAAAATTTTTCTTTGTATCATTTTTAACCTTCAATTGTGTCTTGTTGTTATTTGAGGTTGTTGGAGTTTGCTGCTCTTCATCATCAGTAAATGTCGAATTTTCTCCTTCTAGTTAAATAAAAAAATTTCAAAATGTCAAAACCCCAAAAAATTTAAAAATGTCAAAACCCCAAAAAATTTAAAAATGTCAAAAACCCCTAAAAATTTCAAAATGTCAAACCCCTCAAAAAATTTAAAAATGTCAAAAACCCCAAAAAAATTTAAAAATGTCAAAAACCCCTAAAAATTTGAAAATGTCAAAACCCCAAAAAAATTTAAAAATGTCAAAAACCCCTAAAAATTTGAAAATGTCAAAACCCCAAAAAAATTTAAAAATGTCAAAAACCCCTAAAAATTTGAAAATGTCAAAACCCCAAAAAAATTTCAAAATGTCGAAATCGCAAAATATTTAAAAATGTCAAAAACTCAGAAATATTTCAAAATGTCAAACCCCCAACAAAATTTCAAAATGTCAAAAAATTCAAAATATTTCAAAATGTCAAACCCCGAAAAATTTCAAAATGTCAAAACCCCTAAAAAAGCTCACCACTAATATAATTTTCATCCTCAACAAGTTCCCACCCATTTTCTTCCTCATTAGTGTTTACCAAATCACTTTCCTCCACAATATTATTTTCTTCACTATTTTCATCATATTCCTCTTCCTGCTCAAATATTAAATTTCCCCCATCATTTCTTTGCCCTCCACTAAAATTGCCCGAATTCTCATCGATATTATATTCATCCTCTTCTTCTTCATTTTCCTCCTCTTCATCTTCAATTTCTTGATAACTTTCCTCAATTGTTGGATGATTTACAAGCATGACGTGCTCTAAAGTTTGTCTAAGTGGACACTTTGGGCATCTTTTATAATACTTTCTGTCCCAAATATAAGTTGAAGAACCTGAAATAAATTGAATATTAATCATTAAATTCTGATTTTTGTATTCTGATATTTAATTCTGATTTCTTAATTCAGATATATTTAATTCTAGTTTGAAAATTCTGCTTTTTTAATTCTGATTTCTTAAATTCTGATTTATCAACTCTGATTTTTAAATTCCGATTTAATAATTCTGATTTATTAATTCTGATTTTTAAAATTCTGATTTTTTAATTCTGATTTACAAATTCTGATTTTTATATTCCAATTTTAAATTCTGATTTTAAAATTCTGATTTTTAAAATTCTGATTTAGTATAAATTCTGGTTTGCAAATTCTGATTTCTGATTTTAAAATTCTGATGTTTTAATTCTGATTTTTAAAGTTTATTTAATTCTACCTTTTCCAGGAATTGCAATTTTATTATTATTTGTTTTTTGCTGCAATTCCTGCTGTTTACTGCTAGCATTAGATTCATCATTGTCAAAAACAAGAAATTCCTTCAGAATACTTGAAAACTAAAAAATAAAAAAATTCTGTTAAAAAAATTAAAAAACGCTTTACATCTCCACTAATTTCATCTTCATTTAAATTTTCAATTCTATCCTCCATAAACGAATTAAATGCTTCTTGAATATCTTAAAAAATTTTTTTTATTAAAGAAACTTAATTTTAAAATGCAAAAAAATTTTTTGCGGACAAAAAATAAATTTTTGCGGACATAATTATTTTGTCGGCAAAAAAAAATTTCAGACACGGCAAAAACTGCGCAAAGACATTTCCTAACTAAAAATCCGCAAAAAATTTTTTTGTCCGCAAAAATATTTTAAACAGAATTACCAATATTATTGAGTGAATCCACAGCAGAATTGCGCTTAAAATAAATTTTAAAAAAATTCAAAAAAAAATTAAAAAATTACCTCAACTTCACATTCCAGTCTAGAACCATTTCCAGTAGAAAATCGAATTAAATCACTGACAGACTCATTTCCATTCCTCTCATTTTGCTATTAAAAATTAAAATTTTTGAATTTAATTAAATTACCCCAAAAAATAATATTTCTTCTACCATTTTAAGACTTGCTCTAGTTACATTTGGAGTGGATAATTCAATTAAATTTGCTTCATTTTCTTCAGATATATTACCCAGGTTAGTTGAAATATTGCTTGTTTTATCATATGTCTTGTTCAACTAAAAAAAAATTTTTTAATTAGAAATATCTTTAAAAGTCCGCAAAAAAATTTTTGCGGACAATATTTGCGGACAAAAAATTTTATTGCGGGCAATAATTTTTTTTTAAAAATTATGGCTTAAACATTTAATTTTTTAGTTAAAAATATATATCAAAATAATTTCACAAAAAAACTAAACATTTAAAAATTATGAAAGGTGTGGGATCAAATGTCATCCTTTCCAAAATTGATCAAAAAAATTTTAAAATTAATTTAAAAATATTTTTTAAATTTAGTTCAGAAAATTAAACAACCTCAACATTTTTTCGCCTTTTATCCTTCACTAGAGCAACCAATTTATAAATCAATTTTGTAAAGCGAACACAGCCTGTACAAATGCATTTTGTGCAGGTCTTCTAAAAATTAAAAAATAATTTTTTTTAATTCTGCAAAATTGTCGTTTAAAACCTCCTTTTTTCATCCCCAAGTTTTTCCGGATGCTATTTGCGGACAAAAAATTTTTGCGGATATAAATTTTTGTCCGCAAAAAATTATTGCGGACATGATTTTTTGTCCGCAAATTTTTTGCGGACAAAAAATCTTTTTTTAATTGAAAAAGGTTAGTGAATAGAGAAAGGATGACGTGGCAAGATTTTGCTTCCTTTCTTCCCAATTCTCCTTTTCGTACAAAGACTTTTGTATTCTTTCTAGGAAGAAAATTCTGACCCAAAAATGAGAGGAAAAAAGGAAGCCACCAAACGACAATTTCGCCAAAAAAATTAAAAAAAACCTCAGTTTCAGTAGCCACGTCTTTTTTTAAAGCTTTTCTCGATTCCTTTTCAATATTTAACATTTTTTGTTGTTGTTGTCGTCTTTCATCATTTCGAATTTCCTCTAATGTTCTTATTAATTTTGCAGAATTAAAATTTGTGGGAGGCTGTCGAGGTGAACGAAATATTGAAAACTATAAAAAATTAAATATTAAAAAAACTAAATTAGGATTTGATTCGTTAATTTCGAGTTTCGTCCCCTTCCTTTTTTCCTTTCAGACTCAGGTCACGAGACTAATCTAGTCAGCGATAGGGATGAAAAGCAAAAGGAAAAGGGAAATTTGCAACAGATAAGTGGAAGGATAAATTAGGCCGCAGTTTGGAGAGAAAGGGACCCTGGATGGCCCCGGATCGAAGGACAGCAGTCCAATCCAATTTTTCACACATATAACGATCAATAGAACACGGAAAACTGCCTTTTTTTACCTTAACTTTGGACCCAAGGGAAAATTCAAGTCTGAATTAAGATAGATTCTCTAATGTTCAGACTCCCTCAACATCCTTTTAAATTTCACAACAAAAATAAAGAAAAATTTTAAATTTTTAAAAATATTGAATTTTAACCGTATTTCTACTCGGCTGTTGATTTGCTGGGTTATTACAAGAATTATTTTTGTTTGGTCGATGATTTTCTTTTTGAGATTCGCTAAAATTTGTTTTTAAGAGTTTTTTTAACGTCAACGGCGTAGCCAAAAGAGGGGTGGTTGGGAGACTCTCCTCAGAAAAATGGAAAGGAGAATAATCAAAAAACCAAAATAAAATTTTTTAAAATCATCTCTGAACAAAAAATCACAAAAAAATCAAAAATTCATTCATAAAGTGCTCTTTGGTTAAGTGGGTAAATTTTAAGTTTTTAGTCAAAAAGGGGCGAAGGTTCGAACCCTTTCGGGGGAACTTAATTTTATTTTGTAAAAAAATTGTTTCTGATAAAACAAAGAGGGGAATAAAGTTAAAAATAAATTTTTAAATTATTTTGGAAGCTACGCACTTGGTAAACTTTAAAAATTCAAAAAACTTTTAAAAAACCCTACTCCATCCGATCAATTTCTTCCTGCCAAAATTGATTCCTCTGTTGCCAAAATTGCTTCTGATTTCGTCTAAAAGAGAAAATATTATGAAGAAAAAAAACTGAAAACCTTTTTTCAATCTCCTGCATCTCCAACCGTTTTGCTTGCTTTATAGCGTTTACACCGTCGAGGTGTCTGCCAGTATAAATTGTCACCCTCTAAAAAATTTCGGGTTAAAAGGGAATTGCCCAGTTTGATTAAAAACACATTTTTTACAACATAGAAATTAATTTGCCAAGTAGGGTTCGAACCTTCGACCCATTTTGCCCAAAAACCTAAAATTTACCCACTTAACCAAAAACTAAATTTTGGAATAAATTTCGATTTTTTAGGTTTCTGGGGTTCTGATAAAGAATTTAAAAATTTAATAAAAAAAACCTCTCCATTCTCCTTTGTTGTTGTAAGGACATTAACATACTCGAACATTTCCCTAGAGTGCAATAATTGTTGAAGAGACGAAAAGCCTAGTAATATCGCCTTTTGTTCAGGGTCGAATTGATGAAATCCCCTATAAAACAAATAAAATTATAATTTAAAAAATTTAAAAAATGTTTTTCAATAAATTTTGAATTAGAAACCCCAGAAAAGCTTAAAAATCAAAAATTCACCCTAAAATACTTTTTTGGTTAAGTGGGTAAATTTTAGGTTTTTAGGCAAAAATGGTCCAAGGTTCGAACCCCTTCGAGGGAATTTAATTTTATTTTGTAAAAAAATTGTTTCTGATTAAACAAAGAGAGGAATAAAGTCAAAAATAAATTTTTAAAATAAAAAATAACTTGAATTCCTTGATTAGTTCTTCTAGAGATTCATATCCACCATATTTCTCTTGAAGCAAAAGAGCCAAGCGCCGTCCAAAATCTTTTAAACTAATTTTTTCCATTTGGTCAAATTCCATTTTGTTAAACACACTAAAAAGATGAAAAAAATAAACAGAAAATTTGGTGGAAAATACGCGAAGACAAGGAAAGGAAAGAAATTTTTAGTTGCAAAATTGCAGTGTTTTCCTTAGAGTTGCCAGCTCGCTCGAACCGAAACTCAAAAGATCGAACGAGCCAAGGCTTTTCAGCTCGAAAACGAACCGAATCGAAAAAACCCAAGCTCGAAAAAATGCACCGAACGTCGGCTCGAACCGAACGCCGGCAACCCTAGTTTTCTCCAGTAATGAGGCAGGCTTATTTATTGCTATCTACAACGAACAATATAGACAAAGCGGAAGATGGGCAGCAAAAAAATAAAACATGAGCAATATAAATATGATTGAACAATTATTTAATGAAAGGAAATGATGGTTGGGTAGAATGGGCATTTTTGAATGAGTGGCAAGCAAATAAACAAAGACAATGACAATAAAATAAAGGAAGAGACAATAAAATGGGAAAATGGCCAAAGGGAAAATGTTAGAAACTTGTAGACAATGGGTCAAGCTAAATAAAATTAATTTTGGAATTCCGATTTTCGACTTTTGAGCCATTTCCGATTTCCGTACCTTCGTCATTTCCTATTCATTTCTGTTGTGTATACCAGTTAAAAAAATTAAAAGTAAACAAAAAAACTCAGTTAGGAACGAAATCCCTGAAGGTATTTCTAAAAATCGAAGCAAGAAAGGAACAAAAAATTAGTTTACAAAATGACATTACCATTAATACATTAACACGTTCATTTTGTTGCTGGATTACTTTGCCATAGTTTTTTTTTATTAGAGGGCCGTAAAACTAGAGTGGTGACGGGACAGGATACCGAGCGGGATTTTGCGGATCCTGTCCTGAAATCACGTATTTTGAGCAACGAACGGGATTGCGGGATTAATCCCGCGGGATCTGTCCCGTAAAAATTTTGGAAAAAATCTCGTTACTAGATCCCGTGAATACGATTTTTCCGCACTCTAGGTAAAACTGCATTCCCGGGGTCCCGTAACGGGATTTTTTTCAACAATTTTACGGGACAGTATCCCGCGGGATTAATCCCGTAAATCCCGTTCGTCGCTTAAAATACGGGATTTCGGGACAGGATCTCGTAAAATCCGATCCTGTCCCGTGCCGACCTCTAATTTTTATCTCACCGATTTTTCAGATTTTTAGAATTTCTTAAGAAAAATTTCTAACCAACTTTTTTCTCAATGGATGAAGAATTGCAAAAATTAATTAATAATTGGCTTGAATGGGATAAGGTTCTTTTAAATTTTTTTAAAATTTATTAAATTCCCTTTCGTAGAACGAAGACACTCGAAGGCAAATTCAAAAGCTGGTTGATACAGACAATTTAGCAGAACTTAAAGCTTTGATGATCGGCAAACTTTCCTTTGGAACTGCAGGTTTTTTTAAAGATTTTTTTGTTTGTTTGGGGGAAACTTGGGCTCCACTGAATTGTTGATGCATGCATATCAGAGATGTAATGTCACAGGCTGCATGAAACCCGGCTTTTTTTCGACTTGAAATCTGACCCGAGGAAAATTTTCAAAACCGGGCCGACTTTTTTCTCGGCCCGAGAAATCCCTGATATTAATAAATCCAACAAGCCTTATCTCTTTGAAACACGCATCAAAATTAGGTTGACCTGTTTTTGGGAACCTTATTTGATCTGTTTTTGGGAACCTTAGAGGCTATTTTCTCATTTCCTAAATTTGAGAATTCCTGCCTTTCTAGAATTTTTTCCAGGAGGTTTTTTTAGAAAACTGCATTTCCCGGAGGCCTGTTTCAATTGTCCGCATATTCTGCATTCTGTGCACAGAACGCAGATTTTGGAAATTCTTTTTCAATTGAATTCTGTGAACAGAATCTGCGGACAATTGAGATAGACCCCAGAAGGTGCTAGTTCGGTTTTCGCACTTGTAACAGTTTTATTATCCATTCAGACCCGACACGTATTGAAACCAGGGATCGAAAACGGGAACTTTGAAAAAATTAAAAAATTTACCTTCTGTCCTTTGGATTTTGATTTTATTTATCCTCCCTATAACCCATTGAATTCAACTAAAAATTTATTTAAAGGTGTGCGCACAAAAATGGGACCAGGCTTCACTCAATTAAACGACCTTACAATTATACAACTCTCACATGGAATGGCCCAACATTTATTACAAGACATGGCTAGTAAAGGAAACAATAAAATACCCAAAATTGTGGTTGGGTTTGATGGACGTCATAATAGCTTGAGGTTTTTTTAGATTTAAAAAAAATCCGCAAAAAACTTGCGGACACTTTTTGCGGACTTTTTTGCAATTTTTCTTTCTTTACCTCTGGTCAACAGAAAATGTCCGTAAATAAAATCTGCAAAAAATGTCCGCAAAAAACTCCGCAAAATCAGTCCGCAAAAAACTTGCGGACAAATTTTGCGGACTCTTTCTCAAATTTTCTTTCCTTACCTTGGATCAGCAGAAAAAATGACCGCAAAAATCTTTACGATTTTTACATGCACCAAAATGTCTAAAAATCAATTCTTCTAGATTTGCTCAATTAGCCTCCAATGTATTCATTAAAAATCGAATTTGTGTAACTTTGTTTTCTGAATGTGTTCCAACACCTGTTGTTTCGTTTGCCGTTGTCGAATTAAATTGTGATGCTGGTTTAATGGTTTATTTTTCGTTTTAAAATTTTTGAAAATTAAAAAAAAATTTTTTTTTAATTTTTTTTTGAAAATTTCAGAATTTTTTTAAAAATTTTAAAAAATTAAAAAAATTTTTTCAGAAAATTTTCAAAAAATTTTTTAAAAATAAAAAAAAATTTTTCTTCCCCAATTAAATAAAAAAATAAATTTCACAGATAACAGCCTCCCACAACCCAAAAGAATATAATGGCTACAAAGTTTATTGGAATAATGGAGCTCAAATACTTTCCCCTCACGACAAAAAAATCTGCCTTCTTGCTAGAGAAACACCCCCAAAAGAAGATTATTGGAATATTACAACTTTAAATTCAACAAACAATTTATTTTCTGTTGCTGATTCTGTTCTGGAAAAATATTTTTGTAATGAGTCTGCTGTTTGTTGTTTTTATAGGTTTGTTTTGTAGTTTGTAAAAAATCAGAATTTGTAATTACAAATTGTAAATTTAGGTTATAAAAATAAACTTGAAAATCAGAATAAAATAAACCTGTTTTACAATTTGTATTTTATAAAAATAAGCTTGAGTGAAAACCAAAATCAAAAAATAAACTTATTTTACAATTTGTAATTGCAACTTGAAAAATAAACTTGAAAATCAGAATTTCCTTTTAATAAAATAAATTACAAATTGTAATATAATTAAGAAAAATAAACTTGTAAATCACAATAAAATAAACTTGGATTACAATTTGTAAAATAAACTTGTTAACAATAAATAAACCTTTTTTACAATTTGTAATTAATACAAACTGAAAATAAAACCTGAAAAAAATATATTACAAATTGTAATTTAATTAAAAAAATAAACTTGGAAATTACAATAAAAGAAACTTGAATTACAATTTGTAATTTAATTTGTAAAATAAACTTGTTTGCAATAAATAAACTTGAAATTACAAATTGTAATTACAAATTAAACTTGAATAAAATTAAATAAACTTGTTTTACAAAATACATATTAATTAAACTTGAAATTGCAAAAAATAAACTTGGAATTGTAAAACTTGTTTTACAATTTTAATAAATAAATAGACTTTTTTTCTAGAGAATTAAATGCAAAAACTTCACTTAAATTTACTTATTCTGCCTTCCATGGTGTTGGTTCTAAATATGCTCGTAGAATGTTTAAAGAATTTGGATTTCCAGAAGATGCTTTTTCTTATGTTAAGGTTTTGTTTATTTTTAATTTATTATTTTTGAGAAATTTTATTTTTCTGATTTTTTAAATTTTTTTTTTATTAAAAAATTTTTTTATTAAAAAAATTTTTTTGAGATTTTTCTGAATTTTTAAAAATTTTTTTCAATTAATTTTCAAATAATAAATTATTTTCTTTTACGAGAAAATTTAATTTTTTTCTACGAAAATAGACAATTTCCCATTAAAATAAAAATTGATCTACACCAACGAGGGCCGAACCTGGACCCCTCAAGCGCTAGAAATTTAACAATTTTTTTCGACATTTTATTGCTCAAAAAGTTTATTTTTATTAAAATTTCCTCTTTTTTAGGAACAAGACGAACCCAATCCAGACTTTCCAACTGTTTCCTTCCCAAATCCAGAAGAGGGCCATGCTGTTCTCAAACTTTGTTATCAAACAGCTGAGGAATTTGGTGCTACTTTAATTTTGGCGAATGATCCGGATGCCGATAGACTTCAAATTGCTGAAAGACAGCCTGAGTATTTAGTTTTTATTTTTTGGGATAGTTTTTGGGGTTGGTTTCTCACTTTTGGGGAATTTTAGGCTTTATTATCTTTTGCTGTACTTCTGGAAAGAATCGAAAGAATTGGATTTTAGAGACCTCCATTTTATTTTAGCCCCATTTTTTCTTGGAGTTCTTAACGAGGTTGAAACTTTCTATAAATATAAGGTCAGACAGCAGCTATCCTCATTGAAGTTACCCATTAATTTTCTTTTTGATTGATTATCTTATTTCTCGGGTTAGCTTTTCAATTTTAGTAAAACCAAAAGAGAAAGCTAAAGAGAGGAAATGAAGTGGGGGGGGGGGGGCTCCAATAAATTTTAAAATTGAGAAAGTTGAGGGGAAATATTACTATAAAAGTTCTCCCCAGTTTTTTAAATTAATTTTTTTCTAAAATTTAATTTTTTAGCGGGGATTGGCGTTTATTTAATGGTAATGAAATGGGTACTTTGTTAACTTGGTGGATTTGGACTCATTGGAAACAAAGAAAACCAGATATTCCAGCTGAGGATGTTTATATTCTAAATAGCGCTGTTTCTTCTCAAATAGTCGCTACAATGTCTAAAATTGAAGGTTTTCTTTTTTTATTTTTGAATTTTTATATTGTAATTTTTGGGGATTTTTACTGACTTTTCACACCCTTATATTTTAGGTTAGCTTTTTAATTTTATCACTCAAAATTAGGGTTGTCGGTTTCAACCCGAACTGATAAACCGTTCGTTTTGGGTTAACCGAAAAATTTTTTGGAACCGACAACCTTACTCAAATTGTTTTAATTTTACAAAGGGGAAGAAAAGGAGTAGAAGACAATTGGAGGGAAATATGTAGGTGGAAAAATCCGCAAAAAAAGTCGGGTTTAATTTTTCAATTCTAAAAAAACCAAGAGAAAGCCTCAATTAAAAAAATATAAATTCTAAATTTTTTTTCTAAAATTTTTAAAATTTCCTAGGCTTCAAAAACGACGTTTCTTTAACTGGTTTTAAATGGATCGGCAATTTGGCGCATGAAATTCGTAAAAAAGGAAAATTGGTTATTCTTGCGTGGGAAGAATCTATAGGTTAAATTTTGATTTTTAAAAATAAATTTATTAAATTTTTTTTAAGGGTTCGCAACAGGAACAACTCTTGATAAGGTTGATTTTGAATTTTTCAAAAAAAATTTTTTTTGAAATTTTTTTTAAAATTTTTTTTAAATAAAAAAAATTTTTCTTAACAAAACTGAATTCCCTTCCCCCTAAAAAGACAAAAAAATTTATTAAAAAATTTTTTTTCTTTCTCAAAAGGACGGAGTAAGCGCAGCAGCAGTATTTGCAGAAATGGCCAATTATTTAGCTTCCCAAAAATTAAATATGAAAAAACAATTATTTAATATTTACAACAAATACGGCTTCCATTTAATTAGAAATTCTTATTGGACAGTTCCAGAAAATAGTGTAACAAAAAAATTATTTAATAATCTTCGAGAAAATGGAAAATATCCAGTTAATATCGATGGAAACAAATGCAAGGAAAAATATGTTGTGAAGCATGTTCGGGATTTAAATACTGGTAAAAACATGTTTTTAATTGAATGTTTGTGAATGTTTTTGTATTTTTGTTTTTATATTTTTCTGTTTGAATGTTTTTGTATTTTTTTGTTTGTTTAGATGTTTTTCTGAATGTTTGCTTATGTTTTTTTGGATGTTTTCAATGTTTTTGTGTTCTTTGTATTGAATGTTTTTTGATGTTTTGTAATTGTGTTTTTAATGTTTTTTGGATGTTTTGTTCGTTGTTTTTATTTTTAAATGTTGTGTTTCAATGTTTTTGTATTTTTCTTGGTCTGTTTAAATGTTTTTATGAATGTTTGTTTATTTTTAATTGTTTGGATGTTTTCAATGTTTTTGTGTTTAATATTGTAATGTTTTGATGTTTTTTGTTTATTTGTTTTGAATGTTTTTCGGATGTTTTATTGTTTTTGTATTGAATGTTTTGTAAATATTTGTTTTTGAATGTTTTTGTGTTTAAATATTTTGATGTTTGTTTGCTTATTTTCAATGTTTTGTTTTCAATGGTTTCAATGTTTGATGTTTGTTGGGATGTTTTTACAATTTTTCTATCTTTAAATGCTCGTAACTTTGTTTTCTTTGTTTTGTTTCTTGTTGTGTTTTTCCCAATCTAAACATTTATTAAAATTTTTTCCAGGTTTTGATTCTTCCCAACCAAACAACAAAGCAATTCTCCCATTAAGCACAACTTCAGATATGATAACTTTTACATTAGCTTCAGGCAGTCTAGTAACTTTACGTGCAAGTGGAACTGAACCAAAAATTAAATATTATATTGAATTACAAACTGAGCCTGGAAAAACTGAAAAGTTGGTGAAAAATAAAAAATTTATTAAAAAAATTTTATTTTTCCAGTGATTTGGAACAAGTTGAGAATGAACTAAACCAATTAGAAAATAATGTTGTGCAGACATTATTGCAACCAGAAAAATATGGACTTATTAGCCGTTGAGATAAAAAATAAAAGAATTGATGGGGATCAATGTGTTTTCGACATTTTAAAAATCAGAATATTCTGATCATATAATTTATTCCGATTTTTTCTGATTTTTTGAAATTCTGCTTTGTTATATTTTTCTTCTTTTAACCAATTTCAGAATTTTTGATACCAGAATTTTAATATTTTTTCTAATAATTTTATTCTGGTTTGGAATTCTGATTTTTATTTTGATTTCTATTTTCTGAATTTTTTCAGAATTTTTTGAAGTTCTGATTTTATTCTGATTTTTTAAAATTCCGATTTTTTTCAGAATTTTTTAAAATTCTGGTTTTTCTAATTTTTTTAAATTTTATTTTTATCTTCTCTAAAATTCTGATTTTCTAACTAAAGGATTAATATCATTCCTTAATTGTATCATTGTGATTCTTATCTTGAGTTGACCGTATTATAATTTATTATTTTAATTAACTCTATTATTTAATTTATTATAAATCTTTTTAATTAAAATGGGAGCTAAAAATATCGGTTTGATCTTGTGGATGGACCCCAAATAAAATTAAAGTCAATCCGACAACTTTGTAGTTTATCATTAAAAAATCTAGTTTAATATTTCCACTCATTTTTGACAAATTATCAATTGGACCCCTCATAAGAGTAATCTACTTACCTTCAATTTTGTCTTTAATTTCTTAAGTAATTTTTAAGGACGTTTGTCATGGCCAAATTTTCCTTATCTATCTGACAAAAAAGAGAAAAATTTTTTTCTTTATATAAATTTTCCTGTTCCCCCCAATTTTCCAGTTCAATCAAAAATTTGTTATGTTCATTTTTTCCTCTTTATTTATTTTTTATTTGGTTATTTCGTCTATTTCGCCTACTAGTACTGCTTCTCCTCCCCCTAAAATTTTAAACAATAATGACTTTCAACAAAACACTAATTATATTAAAAGGCCTCTTAAAATACTCGTACATTCCCCTTCAATAAGTTGGAGTCATGCTCAATATTTGGGAAGAATTGCGGATACGTTGGTTGAAGCGGGGCATGAAGTGGTTAGTTTAATGTTGGGAAGAATATATTAAAAATAATTGGTGTGAAAACACATTAGTAAAACATGTTTATGATAAATTCAATTTTGGTTTGAACATGTTTGGAATGTTTTTATGATTTTTAATGGTTTACAAACAATTGTAAAACATTTTAAATAAGCATGTTTAATTTATAATTTGTAAAACAAGTTTTATTTTAAGACTTGTTTTGTTGTAAGGTGGAAGATAAACCCATGTTTTGATTAATTGTAGAGGAAAAATAAACCTGGAAACAAATAAAAACACAAATCTGAAACACAAACAAAATACAAAAATAAACTTTGTTTTGAACAGAAAATACGGCTGTACTTTAGCCGGTGGCCGGTTCGAAACCGATTCGAAATATATACCATTCGATTCGTCTCGGCGAGCTGAGTCGAATGGTACTACTCCCAGGGTGCGGAAACGCCTGTGGACCAAGATACGGGCTCTTGAAAATCGAAAAACCAAAGGGGGGACCAAGCTGATTTTTGGGGTCAAAAATTCGATTATACAAATGATACCTCATTCGAAAGAGCTCCTCGAGCTGAGTCGAATGACACCAGAATCAACAAAATCCGACTTGATTGGACAAAGTTATGATCTTTTATTTTAGCTCCTTACCTATGGCATATGTAAAGATTTTTGCTGCTATGGAGGCCCCAAATACGTCCAGAGCAAGGGAGATAGGAATAGGTTTATGTTACGAGCCCAGACCCAGCGCCCGTAGACTCCCCGCGAGGCGCGTGCCGCAAAACCCCGCGCGAAGCGCGGGGTTTTGCACAAGCGCCTTGCCGACGCTCCATAGGTTTAGGTTTTTTGTTATTTGTGTCATAACTTTGTCTAATCTTGTTCGATCACGGTGATTTTGGTGTCATTCGACTCAGCTCGTCGAGCTCTTTCGAATGAGGTATTATTTGTATAAAAATTTTTTAGTCTAAAAATCGCCCTTTTGGATCTTCGGTTTTTGGGGGTCCATATCTCGGTCCAATCAAGTCGGATTTCGTTGATTTTGGTGTCATTCAACTCAGCTCGCGGAGCTCTTTCGAATGATCTATCATTCAAAAAATCGATTTTTCCACCCCAAAATTGAGCTTACTCCCCCCTATGGTTTTTCAATTTTCGGGGACCTATATCTCGGTCCACAGGCGTTTCCGCACCCTGGGAGTAGTACCATTCGACTCAGCTCGCCGAGACGAATCGAATGGTATATATTTCGAATCGGTTTCGAACCGGCCACCGGCTAAAGTATATCCGAAAATACATTAAATAAACTTGAATTTAAACAAAACATAAACTAGAAATTTCTTAATGTTCGGAAACAATTTACAAAAAGTAACATTTACAAACAATTGTAAAACTTGTTTTGTTATAAGTTTGTAATTATCAGAACATGTTTTGATTAAATATAATGTTTTACAATTTTCAAATTGTAAAACATGTTTTTCTATACGCTTAAGTTTAATTTATGGTAGTAAATATTATTAACTAAAGTTGTAATATTATTTTAATATTGAAATTTTTTTCTGAATTTTAATTTTAATTAAAATGAAATTTTCAGCATTTCCTTAAATTCATTATGGACCCTACGTTAAACTTCAAAAATGAAACTACTCGAGTAAAACATATTCATCTTATCCAAGCAAATCCTGACAGTGTCGAACTTTTGGACATTAAAAATAACAAATTAGTAACAGAAGCATTCCATAGCGATAGACCGTTGATAAATTACTTTAATCATCCGATGACTCATTTTGGACCAATGATGGCTACTGCGTGTAAAGGCAAACATTTATATTTTTGTTTGCGTTTTGTTTGTATGTTGTTTAGAAATTAAGCTTTTGTGTTTTATGTTGTTGTGTTCAAGTTTTGTTTTTATTTGTTCTAGGTTTATTTTTGTGTTTTGTTTTAATTCAAGTTTATTTAATGTGTTTTACTTTGTGTTTAGATTTATTTGTTGTATTTTTTTTATTTTCAAGTTTTATTTAAATTCAAGTTTATTTAATGTATTTTTTGTGTTTGTTTGAAAAAGTTTATTTTTGTATTTTGTTTTGCTTTAAGTTTTAAGTTTCTAAGTTTATTTTTTTTGTGTTATATGTTTTTGTGTTTTGTTTGTTGTTTGAATCCAAGTTTATTTATTTGTTGTGACTTTTGTGTTTTATATTTATTTTATGTGTTTTCGTTCTATGTTTTTGTATTTTTGTTTTCAATGTTTTAGTGTTTGTTTTGTTTTAGTATTTTATTAAATGTGTTTTTGTATTTTATTTTTTGTATTTTTGTTGTTTGAAGTTTTATTTGTTTCATGTTTATAGAAACAATACAACAACACCAACTTTTACAACAATTAACCAATGAAAAGTTTGATGTTGGAATATCAGAAATGTACGAGTATTGTGCTGCTGCACTTTTTCATAAACTAGGCGTAAAAACAAGGCTAGCAGCATTTGCAGTTCCCTTGTTGCAAATGGTTGGCAGAAAATTTGACATTCCTAGTTTTGCTAGTTTCGTGCCAAGTATTTTTACTAAAAATATTTTTTTATTTTTAAATAATTTATTAGACACTTTCGCCTCACATTTGGGCCTACAATCTTCTTTTTACTACAGATTTTTTAATTTTTTCAATGAATTTTATGACTGGATTTGGATGGATGATTATATTCTGAGAGAAGAGGTCTAGGAAAAAAATTTTTGGAAATTTTTTTTGGAAATTTCTTTCAATTTTTAGGAACAAATAATTCGTCAAGAATTCGGCTCAGACTTTCCAGATTTAAAATATTTAACAAAAAAAGTTTCTCTCGTCTTTTTCAACTCAAACCCCTTCTTTGAGATGCCTAGACCAACCTCCAACAAAGTTGTTTATATTGGCGGGTTGGTGGATAATTTGGCAACTGAGGCTAATAAAAAATTGGAACCAGTAAATTGACATTTTGATTAAATAAAAATTAAGAAAAAATTTTTTTGAAGAAAATTAAAAAAATATTGGACGAGGCAGTTGAAGGCGCCGTCCTTTTCTCGTTTGGATCAATTGCTGACACAACCAAATTAAATTTAAAAATTATAGAGGGAATTGTAAAAGCTTTTAGACAATTCCCTAATATTCAATTTATTTGGAAATTGGATTCTGAAACAATTAAAAATATGTCTGAATTAATTAATACGGCATCCAATATTCATACGTTTGAGTGGCTTAGACAACCAGCTATTTTAGGTGGAAAATTAAATAATTTAAAACTTAAGTTTTTGTTAATTGTAATTCAAGTTTATTTTTTAAATTGTAATTCAGGTTTATGTTTGTAATTATAATTCAAGTTTAATTTTGTTAATTGTAATTCAAGTTTATTTTTGTGATTGTAATTCAAGTTTATTTTTGTGATTGTAATTCAAGTTTATTTTTGTGATTGTAATTCAAGTTTATTTTTGTGATTGTAATTCAAGTTTATTTTTGTGATTGTAATTCAAGTTTATTTTTGTGATTGTAATTCAAGTTTATATTTTAGGTAATTGTAATTCAAGTTTAATAATTTTATTTGTAATTTACATATGTTGATTTTTTAAATTGTAATTCAAGTTTATTTTTGTTAATTGTAATTAAGGTTTATTTTTGTTAATTGAAATTCAAGTTTATATTCGTAATTGTAATTCAAGTTGATATTACTAATTGTAATATTACTACTGTAAAACATTTTTCTCTAGTTCATCCCAACTTGAAAGCATTTATTACACATTGCGGACAAAACAGTCTAACTGAATCAGTGTATGCCGGTGTTCCTATTATTGGCATTCCTCTTTTTGGAGACCAATTTTACAATGCTGATGTTGCCGTTACACATGGTATAGGGCTACAAATAGATGTTAATGAATTGAATGGACCGAATGCCGAAAATATTTTATTTGAGGCTATAGAAAGGGTAAAAATTGAAATTTTATAGTTGAACCTCTTTATAAGATACACCCAATATTAGATACACCTCTGGCGATAGGACAATTGTAGACGACATTTCCGGTATGAACCCACGGGTGACATTTCTGAGTTGTTCGCAATTAGCAATGCTCATATCTTCAACTGTCTAATACCCCAAGTTTTCTGAATTTGGGGCTTATAGGGTAAGGAAGTTGCTTAAACATACTGGACTAAGCAATACCCAGAGTTTATCGGACCATTGGTTCTGATCAACAGAACGGGTACTTATGGCCGTAGAGTAATGTTTGTAGACTGACCATTTTTAATATTAGGAGAGAAAAGGGCGGGAGAGGGGGGGAGGGGGTTCGAAGTTCAATTTTACGGCAATACCCTCAATTTAAGATATACCTCATTATAAGTTACGAATTTTCCACTTCCAAGGGTGTTCTTATAAATAATTTTTAAAAATAAAAAAATAAATTTTATTTTTAAGATCCTCAAAGTCCCCTCATTTCGCCAAAATGCCCAAATACTATCCAGAAAATTAAAATTAACTCCATTCAAACCAAAAGAAAGGCTAGTAAAATGGGTAGAATTCGCAGCAGAATTTGACGATTTATCAGAACTTGATATGCCTGGAGACAGGGAATTAAATTGGTTTATTTATTATTCTCTGGATGTTATAACCTTTTCGATTGTATATTTGGGTGTTATTTTGGTGGTTTTTTGGAAATTTACAGAATGGATTTTGACTAAATTTTGGCAAATTTTGTGGCTGAGAAATATAAGAAATATTACAAGAAAAGAAGAGAAGAAGAAAAAAGCTTAATTAATTAGATAGTCGGACCTTGCTTTAGTGGACCTTTAGATATTCGGACCTAGCTTCGGGTCATGTAGATTATAATAGGGCTGAAGCTCCCCCATCCAAGGGCTGCCCCAACCCGACATGAGATCAACTTTAAAGATACCCCTTCATGTAGATTACCTATATAATAGGGCTGAGGCTCCCTCTCATCCAATCCTCGCCCCACCCCACACGAGAGATCAACCTAGGTTTCAAAAAACGTAATTAAAAGTGAGGTCCGACTGTGTTTAATTATATACTTGTATTAAATAAAAGATTAGACTCTTTCTGATTAAATTTTAAAAATAAAATTAAAACAAAATCAAATAAATTCGCCAATTAACACTTCTAAAATTTCTAAAAATCACAGCACCTTCAATTTTGAAGCGTTTTGTTTACTTTTATGTCTATTTAAAAGCCCTACTTTTGTTCTATAAGTATGCAAAATTTCAGAATTTTCTGATTACCTTAAGAGAAGTTATGGATAAAAAACCAGAGTCACCTCCTACAGTTCTACAGTAGAAATATTTAAATAATTAATTTTAATTTAATTGGCATTGTGTTTGGAAGAAAACAAAGTTAGAGAAAAATAAATGAGAGAAACTTTGTTTGTTTTCCTAATTTTTATTCTTCATGTTTTTCTTGTTTTTAATGTTTGTATGTTTTAATGTTTGTTTAATGTTTGTATGTTTTGATGTCTGTTGTAATGTTGTTTTTAATGTTTTTCTGATGTTTTTACTTGTTTTAATTGAATTTAAAACATGTTGTTGTTTTTGTTTAATGTTTTTAAAGTTGTTGATAAAGAAGAGAAACATTGTTTTGTTCGTCTCTTTTTTTGTTAATGTTTGTTTGTTTAAATGTTTGTTTGTTTAAATTTTTGTTTGTTTAAATTTTTGTCTGTTTAAATGTTTGTTTGTTTAAATGTTTGTTTTAATGTTTGTTTAAATGTTTGTTTTGATGTTTGTTTGTTTAAATGTTTTTAAAGTTGTTTATAAAGAAGAAAAACATTCTTGTTTTGTTTTTCTCTTTTTCTTGTTGTTTAAATGTTTTTCTTAAACCTTACCAAACAATACTATAAAAGCCGGGTGTTTTGTTCGTTTATTTCATTTGCTCTTTTGTTTTTCCATGTTTTTCTTTTTGTTTCTGTTTTTCTCTTAATTCTTTTTTTATTTTTAGCAAAACAAATATTCTCTAATTTAAACTTCTCTACAAACTTTTCTGCAAACAAAACAATAAAATGGCTGCTCCAAATGTAAAAAATATTTAAAAAAATTTTCAAAAAAATTTTATTTTCAGCAACCAATCCAAAATGCCTTCAATCTTCCTCTTCCTCTCCGTATTATGCCATATGGAATTGTTGCTGCTGCAGTCGGTGTCGCTTCTTATTTTGTTCTGTGTGCTGTGAATCTTGGGTTTTTCAACAAAAACATATTTTTCACTAACAACATTTAAACTTATCTACAAATCTTTTCAAACAAAAAATAAAATGGATGCTTCAGAAGTAAGAAAAAACATTTTCAAATATTTTTTAAAAATACTTATTGCCCTCATTTTGCCTGTGACACTGTAGGGGATGAATGACACTAAAATTTGACTTTTTGATCGGCTGCTAAACTTTCCTATCGTCCAATAAAATGATTAATATGAGTAAACTTTTCATTGGACGCATAAACTAGACCAGCGCCACTTTTAAGCTCCCGTACCTCAGTTTTGTACCCAACATTTGCGCATTTCATAGAGGCGCAAATGTCATAAAACCTTAGGAAAGATTTATAAATTTTAATAAAATACTATCTAAAAATTCAAGTTGCTTTCTAAAGCGGCAAAAGCAAAAGGAGGGCAATGTTGACCTTATGTAACAATTTTTAAACAATTGTTTCTATTAGGATGTAAAATTTTTTGGTCTATAACCTAATTTTTGAATTGATGCAAACAAGAATTGGATTGCTTAACTAATATGAAGAAGAACCCCTCTAATACAAGCATCTTCATTAAAAAATTCCTTTTAAATTTTACATTTTTAAATAACCTTTTTTAGATGTGTTGGTTTAGAAGATGCTTGTGCAATGAGTAGCGTTGTTCCCCAACGGGGGTGGGGTTACGGGAAAAATTTTCGGGGAGGCAGTGCCACGGGGAGGGGGGGGGGAGGGGGGTTGTCCCAAGAAAAAGGAGGATAAATTCATAAAAACAAACACGAGGTACTCATTTCGGTCACAAGTTTTTGCATGATCGGGAATTGTTAATCACTCTTCACTGTGCACCCAAACAAAAATCAGCCGTTCTAAAGCCCCAGTTTTGAACCCAACATTTGACGTTTCAGCGGGGCGCCAATGTCAATAATCTTAAAAATGATTTTTTGGGTTAACGGGTCCGGAAAGGACACTACATATTTATTTATTTTGAGCGAGTGTGTAATTTTAAGCCTAAAATAATTTTTTTTAATTTGCAATTTTTTAGTTGCGTCGGCTTGGACGGTGCTGTGTTGTGCCGATTTGGCCCAAACCAAAATGATAATTTTATTGAATGCACGCGTGAAAAACACTTTGGTCACAAATTGTTAGACGACCCTGGGATTTTAATTGCTTTCCATTGTGGCCCAAAACAAACTATTAAGAAAGGACTTGCTATTGCTTCAGGGGTTGCGGTACCGTCAGAAAATTAAGAAACTATTTAGAAGATTATATAAATAAATTTGGGGATATTATTTGTTAAAAAATCCCGTATGGGTTGTTTTCCTTTAGTTTATTTTAGACAATAATTTTATCTAAACAACCCATACGGGATTTTTTATACAAATAATATCCCCAAATTTATTTATATAATCTTCTAAATATTTTCTTAATTCTCTGGCGGTACCGCAACCCCTGAAGCAATAGCAAGTCCTTTCTTAATAGTTTGTTTTGGGCTACAATGGAAAGCAATTAAAATCCCTGGATCCTCTAACAATTTGTGACCAAAGTGTTTTTCACGCGTGCATTCAATAAAATTATCATTTTGGTTTGGGCCAAATCGGCACAACACAGCACCGTCCAAGCCGACGCAACTAAAAAATTGCAAATTAAAAAAATTATTTTAGGCTTAAAATTACACACTCGCTCAAAATAAATAAATATGTAGTGTCCTTTCCGGACCCGTTAACCCAAAAAATCATTTTTAAGATTATTGACATTTGCGCCCCGCTGAAACGTCAAGTATTATGTTCAAAACTGGGGCTCGAGAATGGCTGATTTATGTTTGGGTGCACAGTGAAGAGCGATTCACAGTTCCCGATCATGAAAAAACTCGTGTCAGAAATGAGTACCTCGTGTTCGTTTTTATGAAGTTATGCTCCTTTTAAGGTAAAATCGTCAGATCATACACAGTATACAAGCATTTTCTAAATCAATACAATTAAACGAGAGTAAGATTTATTTTATTTGTTGTAATTTATGCTTATTTGTTAATTTATTTTTATTTTAAATTTATTTTTTAACCAAATTTTTGTGTTAAGTAAATTTTTCCTTTAATTGCATTAAATTTTCTTGCAAATAATTTTTCCCTTGATACACTAAATTCAAAAAATCATAGCATCCTTAATTTTAAAGCTTTTAGTCAACCTTTATGTTTATTTAGAAGCCATACCTTTATTCTATAAGTATTCAAAATTTCAGAATTTTCTGAAAATCTGAAAAAAAGTTATGAGTCAAAAACCAACACCACTTCCGACATTTCTAAAAATTATTCAAAAACTGTTGTGTTTGCTAATAAAACGAAAGAAAAAGTCAGAGAAGTGAATTATTAAAACATGAGACAGTTCCATAAAAGATTGTTTTGTTCATTTGTTTTGGGTTTCTTTTATTTTTTTCATGTTTTTCTAGTTGTTTTTGATGCTTTTTAAAAGTTTTTCTTATATGTTTCCCTTAAAGTATTGTCTTAAAGTTTATCTGAAAGTTTGTTTTAATGGGTGTTTTAATGTTTGTTTGGATGTTTGTTTGTTTAAATGTTTGTTTGCTTAAATGTTTGTTTAAATATTTGTTTGTTCTGATGTTTGTTTGTTTAGATGTTTGTTAGTCTAAATGTTTGTTTGTTTAGATGTTTAGTTTAATGTTTGTTTGCTTAAATGTTTGTCTAAATGTTTGTTTAGAGGTTTGTTTGTTTTAATGTTTTTAAATTGTTTTAATGTTTTTAAGTTGAAAAACATTTTTGTTTTGTTTTTCTCTTTTTCTGTTGTTTTAAATGTTTTTCTTAAACCTTACCAAATAATACTATAAAAGCCGGATGTTTTGTTCGTTTCTTTCATTTTCCTTTTGTTTATTTTCCATGTTCTTCTTTTTGTTTTTAAAGTTTTAGTCTTAATTCTTTTTTAATTTTAGCACAACAAATATTCTCTAAACAATATTTAAACTTCTCTACAAACCTTTCTGCAAACAAAACAATAAAATGGCTGCTCCAAATGTAAAAAATATTTTTCAAAAATTTTCAAAAAAATTTTTTTTTCAGCAACCAATCCAAAATGCCTTCAATCTTCCTCTTCCTCTCCGTATTATGCCATATGGAATTGTTGCTGCTGCAGTCGGTGTCGCTTCTTATTTTGTTCTGTGTGCTGTGAATCCGTTTGGGATCCGCAAATTGAAGGGGAAGGAAAAGAATTGAGAAAATGAAGAGAGGAAATAATTAGGAATTCTATAGGCGATATATTCGATATCTTAATTGTTGTAATTTATGTTTGTGTGATAGCTATATTTTGTCCGAAAATTTTTTGTGTGTAAATTAAAATTATTTTTTCGATGCTTTATTTGTTCACTATAATTTCTTTCCTTTAGCCTCCGCTAGGGTAGAGCGACATTTTGGCAGCCGATGGTGTTTGCGACATTTGCGAACATTTTGAGAGTAATTTGCGGTAGCGCCATTTTTTAATTTTTTATTGTTCTGAGATTTGATGGTGAAATTAGCATAAGCTTAGGCATGGCCTTTCGACCTTCTTTCTAGCCCCTCTGACCTTTTGTCAATTTCAAGTGGCAATAAGTTCCAATTGTAGTAGTTGGCTTCAATTTTGTGCGCAAATGTCGTTTAGCTGCAATTCGGTTTCTCTTTTCAAATCCCACTTCCTTTCCCGTTAGTTATTCACCCCCACATAAAAAGCAACAAATACATTCTAGGAATTAATGTGGGCGTTGTTTCCTGTGTTAGCACAAATCCCTCAAAGCTTTGAGAAAATTGAGATAGCGGTAAAATGTAGGTAAACATTAGATACACCTACTCAACGACGGGTTATTTCCTAATAAAGTTAAGCTGTTTGTTTTCCTTATTTGTACGAGAAAGGTGCCAAAATAGAAAAATAAATCTTTTTATCGACAAAATAATTTACGATAACAGACAACTCTCATTAAACCCTTGGAACTACATCAGTGGTGTGCCAGTTTCGCGTTTCGCCTTACACGGAATTTCGTGAATTTTCGCGTCTTTTAGAACCGTTCTTGCATTGGGATGTATCTTAAATAGAGAGTATCCATTTAAAATCTCCCCAGACAATATAAATCCCTCATTAAACCCTTGGAACTATACATTAAGGGAGTTCCAGTTTCGTGTTTACCCTTTAGCGGATTTTTCGCTTTTATGGAATTTCGCGTTTCGCCTTTTAAAATCTGTTTCGGCACACCTCTAGAATACATATTATCTTATATTGGGGTGTATCCTAAATAGATGGTATCCATTTAGAAGCCCCTCAGACAACTATTCTTGTATTGAGGTGTATACTAAATAGAGGGCATCCATTTAGAAGCTTCCCCAGACAACCGTTATTGCATTTGGGAACTTGCAATCCTGGTACTATATTCGAAGTAAAAATTCCCTGATACTTCGACTTTTAGTCCTAGCACTACGCAGGGACCAAACAAAATATAAAAATGCATACTAAATTGAGGTTATCAAATACTATTCGTTGAAGTTTGGTCACTAAATCCATCAAAACTTAAACAATGTTACGGTATTCCGTCACTCATACAAACACACACCCTCAACAATTTAAATCACCAGCCTCCTCAACCCCACCACCAGTTCCCTTTCCAATAGATAATTTTAAAAAACAACAAATACAGGAACGAATAAAGAGAGGCAAGTTTCCTAAAATTTTCTCGGATAAAAAAATTAAAAAATAAATTAAAAAGGAGTCCGAATCCCCCCTAGCGGACTGTTCCGTATCGACTCCACGTGTCAATGTCATGATCGGGACTATCCTCCATGGACTGGTGAGATCCACGGAATGTCACAAGCTCTGCTTAGCAAGTCGCTCCAATTGCGAGTTTTTTGGTGGATGGTTTTGGTTATTTTTTGTTTTTTTGGATTTTTAAATTTTAATTAAAAAATGAAGGTTCTTTGTACTTGTTGTGGAACAGCTACTACAGTACTTGTTATTATTGAATATATTCGTGGACCCACAGCATCAAGTACTACTATACGATTGGTTTGTAATTTTAGAGTGATGGGGATAGGTCAAGGAAAATTTTCGACAAAATGTACATTTCGCCAAAAATACATTTTGCCACAAACACATTTCACCCCAAAGCCTCAAGTACTACTATACGATTGATTTGTCTCTAATTTAGTGTGACAGGGATAGGTCTAGAAAAATCTTCTGTTGAAATTTCTCATCTCGTCAAATGTACATTTTGCCAGAAACACATTTTGCCAAATCTCATTTTGCCAAAAACACATTTTGCCAATTTTCACTTTGTCATTTTTTCTTAGCAATATTTTTAAAAAATTCTATAGGTCCCAAGCCTAGAATTGCCAGCAATTACAATATGCCCAAAGGTCCCAGATGCCTTCAACTTTGATGCTCTTTATCGAGATATGAACGAAAAAATAGGTGGAATAAATACAGACGTTGCAAGAGATCTTGTGAGGTAACGACGTTTATTTGGCCATAACTTGGAGTTTACTTGACATAAAATTATGAAATTTTGTAATTTGGTAGAAAATAGATTAAATTAATTAATCACAAAATTTGAAACAAAAATGTTGATTTTAGACAATTTTATGAATTTTTAAAGTTTGGACAATTTTTAGCTATTGGATCGGTGGAAGTGGACTGGAAAATATGGTAAATTGACCTGAAAATAAATTTTAAAGAAGAATTCCTGAGTATTTGAATGAATTATTTAAGGATGGACTTCCCGAATTTAACCAGACTTATATGCAAATGTTGGGACAGCTATATGACCGTTGGCGCCGTTCCATAGGCACTAAACAATTTTTTCAGGAAATTCAAGTAAATTAAAAGATGGGTTGTTAAAATTATTTACAGGAAAAATTTGGTTATAAATGCACGGATTTGTTTGTTAATTGTGAACTTGGAGGGAAAAAGCATAATTGGTGAGTTAATTATTGTGAGGTGGAGGAGGGCCTAGTTTAATACTCAAATAAATTTTTAAAAAGTTGTGATGCAATATTCCGTTCTAGACCAGTCATGCGTCGCGGGCTATGCTACCAAACTAAACCACAATTAAACCAGGCAAATTAATTAATTTAATTAAAGAAAAATTAAAAATTTAGACAGAAGCGGATGATATAGGAAGACTTGTGTTAGAAATGAAGGCATTACCCAGCATCACCTCCCCTCAATATAATTTTTTCCAGCCTCAGGCGAGTTAAAAATTAATTTTAAAAATTTATGGAAAATTAAAAAAATAATAGAGGGCGGAGCTTATGTGGGAGGGGGGGAGGAACTACACAAGCACTAAAGACAAGGGTCGGAGCTGTTGGGGAGGGAAACTACACTAGTACAAAATATAAGGGGACGTAGCTTATGTGGGAGGGAAACAACACAAGTCCAAATATAAGGGGGCGGAGCTTACGGGGGAGGGAAACTACACAAGTAAAAAATATAAGAGGCGGAGCTTATAGGGAGGGAAATACAAGGGGGCTGAGCTTATGGGGGAGGGAAACTACACTAGTACCAAATACAAGGGGGCGGAGCTTATGTGGGAGGGAAACAACACAAGTGCCTAATTAATTTTTAAAATTAAAAAATTATTTTCTAGTACAGATAATAATTTATGTCAACGACAATTTTGAACAAGTAGTTGATTTCCCTCGATTTTACTTATACCCACACGAATGGAACAGAATGCATTTTATTGCAAGGTTCATTGAATTGCTTGAACACCCAAAGTTTTATTAATTAATAAAATTGTAAAACTTGAATTAAACATAGCGATTGTACAAACGAGTTGGTAGGGAAGGATGCTAATTGTTTTGTAAGGAATTGGTTAACAGCAAATGTTATAGGTAAATTTAAATGAACATGTTGGAATGTTTGTTTTAAAATAAACTTTCCGGAAAACAAGTTTTAAAAATTACAATTGAGAAATTACAACTGTTAAATAAATAAACTTGATGGTAAATAAATAAACTTGTTGGGAAAACAAGTTTTGTTAAATAAACGAAATGAACAATGTTTTGCAAATAAGTTGTAAAGTTTATATAAAATAAACTTGTTTTGAAAAAAGTTTATTTCTAACCTAAAACAATTTGTAAAATTTGTTTTAGCAAAACTAAATAAACTTGTTTAGCAAATGTTTTAATGTAAAATAAGCATGTTTTGGAAAACATTTATTTTGTAAAATAAAACAAGTTGGGTAAAACAAGCTGTAAAAACAATTTGTAAAAACATGTTGGGAAAACATGTTGGGAAAACTTTTTTGTGTTACGCAAAACAAGTTTGTAAATAACAATTGTAAAAACCAAAAACACACTACAAAACAAAGTTTCAGATGCTTTCAACTGTACTGTGCCTTACTTGGAAGATACTAAGGGTATCTCAAACAACCTTCCAATATGTGAAGTCAAAGTTTTGGCCGAAAAGTTGGGAAATAATGTTTAATTTAAAGCTTAATTTTAAGTTATTACAATGCTATACAACTTGTTCATTCTGGAGCCGTTCACAGTCAAGAGGTCATAAAAATGACAAAAAATATTTTTTAGAGGCTATTATTTTTATTTTTCAGTGTGTTCCAGGGTGTTCCCGATGGGAATACGGGTAGGAAATTTTTAATATAAGGGAGAAAAAATTAAAATAAATTTTTGACTAATTTTTTAATAAAATAATTAAATTTTCAGTGTGTCCCTACAACAAAGTCCAGCTTTACAACCCTTTGTACAACACGTAAAAACTAAAAAAATAATTTTAAAAATTAAAAAATAAAATATTAATTTCCAAAAAAAATCCAAAATTTAAGGAATTTAATTTGGAAATTAGTTTCTACGATTTACAATATGAACATGTGAAGGAGGCAAATTTATTCTCATCAAATAATTTTTTATTTTCTGATATCCAGGTTTATACAATTTCTGTTCCCGGCTTTATGTCGCAGATTGGAGGCCAATTTGGATTTTTCCTAGGACTCTCAATTATTACAATGATACAAGTAAATAACTAATAATAGTGTAAATTGAACATTCCGAGAAGCATATGTTGAGATTTTTTCCGGAAAACATTTAAAGCACAATTGTAAAGATAATAGTAGAAACTTCCAAATAAACATTACAATTGTAAAATAATTATTCAAATTAAACTTTCCGGAAAACATCTAATAATTAAAACATGTTGTGTTTATGTAATATAAACTTTCCGGAAAAACATGATAATTGTAAATTATTAAAATGAACATCCGGAAAACATTTAAAATAAAAACATGTTTATCTAATATAAACTTTCCAGAAAAACATTACAATTGTAAATCTTTAAACTGAACATTCGGAAAAACATTTAAAAAATAAAACAAACATGTGTTTATATAAAATAAACTTTACGGAAAACATTGTTTCAAAACAATTAAAAAGGTTTAAGAAACTTTACAATTGTAAATTAAAAATACAAACTTAATTAAAGTACAATAAACATATTTGTAAAAACATTTCCGAAAAACTTTAATTATTCTTACTTAACAAACTTAAGATTGCGATATATGCTCTCTCCGCTTTCTTTACTCTATGCGTGAAGATCCCACGAAAATTGCTTCAACAAGTTTGTTTTCCATTTTATTTTTAGTATTACTATTATTTTTAAGGCAAATTCCTTTTTGAAAGGAGACTATTTTGCTCAAAACGGAAGCTTTACTAATAAAAACTTGAAACACCCAGCAATTGATAAAACACGTAAAAACGTTGTCAAAGTCAGCACAATCACAGGATATGACAATAAGGGAGCTAACTACGAAGAAACGAGTTTCGGAGGGGAACATATTGAACCGGCTCTTAATAATCAAAGAAGACTCTCTGAGGGTGTGGATTCCCCTGATAATATTTGTGATGCAGAAGAAACTCCACGGAAATCATCAAGAGAAAGAACGAAGCAATTAACAAAACAAAGGAGAATATCATCGAACATAACATTTTCAACAGATAAAAATGATTATTCATCTAGTGGATTTACTCAATATTAAATAAATTTTTTAAAGATTTTTTGCTAAATTCAAAAAATTAAATGTTCAAAAAACAGAAATTAGGGCATTTAAAAGTTTAAGGCATATCCGTATGTGTCTAGGTTTGGTTTTAGAATGGACCCAGCATACTTCCACTTAATTAAAGATTTAAAGTTAAAATAAATGTAAAAATTGGTAAAATCCGAATTCAAGAAAGTCTGATATCCGGAAATTTTCGAATCGGATATCCATGGATTTCCTAAGATCCGACAACACTATTATAGTAAGTCGGTTGATTCCCTTTCCCATGTGAATTAAAGCTCTCTTCTTTGCAAAGTTTTAATCTCATTTTCACTTTTTTGGTTTATTTTTTAGCTGATCTTGCATTATATTGATCCTGCTATTATAAATTATTAAATCGAGAAAAAAGAGCAGTTTTTGTGATTGACTTTGCTAAAATTTATTTTTTATATTAATTCTCGCTTATCTAAATTAATAAAGTATAACTAACTGTTTTAGTTAACCAAAAAAAAACTGATTAAATTAAAAGAGGGTAATAAATAAAATAAAAAATAAATATGGCGAATGAAAATAATAACGCAACCAAAATTTTCATATTAAAAATGTTTCATAATTTATTTTGAAAAATTCCTTTGCAAAGGTCAGACATATTCTTGCAATTAAATTTACTAAATTAGTATTATTTACTAATAAATTTTTCTCCTTACTTTATTAAAACTCAGGTAGATTATTTTTTATTTTTTCTATTTAAATTATTTTCTTTTTTTGTTACTCAAATGCTTTTTATGGAATGTTGATTTTTTTAGGGGGGGGGGATTTATCAAATATTCTATTGATACTTTAAATTATATTAAACACTTCTGATAACTCTAATCAATTCTAACACAATATAAATGTTTATTTTCTTTAATAATAGGCTGACAATTTCTTTTATTAACGATTAACTGGGAAACTAAGTATAAAGAATACTAAAGACTGAACGAATAATGGACATAAATAAACTGAAGGAAATAAACATTTGTCATTAAAGTGGCGAGTCATTTAAAGGCGGCGAGGCTAAATTTGTTTTTTTTTTCGGATAGGCTAGGAACAATAATCTGGGCTAAAGTAACATCTTCAATATTTTGTTCAAAAACTCTAATTAGCTAATTTCTTTAAAGTGGTCGCCAAAAGTCGGGCCAATGAAAAAATTTTTTTCAATTCTATTTCGACCCAAATATCGGGTCAACAATAGTCAGGTCCCCAATTGTCGGGCCCCCAAATTCTAATCCTCAAAAATATTTTATATTTAGTTGTATGTCGCATGAACTTCTAGTACACACCAACTTCAATAGAGTCCGTGCAGAAGACTATGCCCTATCGCTGCGTGATCAATTGATAGCCATCTGCAGCAACCTCACATTTCATGGCAATGAGAAGCAAATGACAAAATACATTACTCAAATTGCTGATGAAATTAATTTGATAGCAACCCATACGTTTAATTATATATGCGATTCTTTAGTAAATAATATATTAATTTTGATTTTTAACTTCTTATACATTATTTTTAGGCAAATGCGTGGCCTGATGTATACCATCAAATTATTGAGGAAAAGTTTAAAAGTCTTGAAATAACATCTCCTAGTGATAGAAAATGGACAAAAAAGATCAATATTATGATAGTCTACTTAATTATTGTTCTTACAATAGTGGTGATTATGGGCACAATGTTATCATTAATAGAATTAATGTAAACACTTCAGATTTTGCTTCCACAGGTAAAATTAAATTTAAAATAATCAGAATTTATCTCATTAGTTTGACGAAAATTTCTTTCTTTTTTATGAAAAATACCGTATTACCTTGAAGTAGACCAAAAAAAATTTGCAACCAAAATACAAGTTACACTGTGAAGCAACTTAAAAAGAAATTACCTATATTCATCTCTGATAGATTATTTAAATGCTGGACTATGTTGCAATTATATGGAGAGCATTTTTGGTCATCATGTGGAAATATAACGTATGCAAAGCGAAGTTACGGCCATGGGGAGCTAAAAGGGATTGTCACATTAAGATACGAGACCAAGGGCGGTACATTTGAACTTTGTGAAAAATTTTTGTTCAACTTTTTTTGGTGAATGATGAAAAGATGTGACAGATTCAAGAATAAACGAGAAAATAATTAGTTTTATTTAAATCTGTCTAAATTGGCTTTGCTTTATTTTAAAAAATAAAAAAATAACGAGTTTTAAAACATTAAAAAACATGTAAAAAATAATAAAGTCTTGCCTTAAAGATAAAAAAATTATCAAATAAAATTATATCTACTAAAATTGATGATTTACATTTGAATATAAGTAGTATTAGAGGAATTACTGAAATAAATAAAATAGCTGGTCGTTCGGTCTCCATTCCGAGTTACCTCACATTGGTAAATTCCCAATTTGAATTTTTTGAGTGGGAGAATTATCTTTCATAGGTAGCCCATGAAAAAAATTCTTCCCTGTCCCAGCCCCCCTCCCCGTAGCGCTACTTTCCCGAAAAGCACCCTCCCATCCCCCATAGGGGGACATTCCTATTAGTTACTCTTCTATTTTAGATATATTGTTTAATATTTGTTTGTTTATTGGGAAAGGGAGCTGTCTAGGAAAACTTCCATTTTAGGGTATTAGGAATTTCACTCCCCTAAAATCCAGTTGAGTGATGTATGATAGAAATTAAATATGATACCTAGCATAATTCGCTAGTAATTTTTCGAGTCCCAATGGTGTATCTTATGGTTAGGTCAATACAATTTTCATATATAACAAAAAAACTTTTTTAGGGTGGCCCACAAGGCACGGGATACGACCCTGTTTATAATCGAGACTTTTGCACACATTATAGAGGACATTATTATAACAAGAATTGCAAAAAACAAATCCAAGGAGGTGGAAAATGAGAAGAAAGAAATTAAAAATTAAACGAGGGCTCATGAATTAACTTGGGATAATACATATTTAAATTGGGATATTATTTTTAAGGGATTTTTGCTGATATTTTTAAATAATTGTATCAATCTTGATTCCGATTAAATAAAGCAATAAATAATCAAAATTTTCAAATAATCCCAAAATTAACTTTAACTACATTTAAAATTAAAAACATTTACATAACCAAAAAATCTTAATGGGAGGTTTATTGGTTAAATGGAAGGTTTGAGTGGTCAACTATTAAGGGAGTGGTGTGCGAAGGGGTCCGAGAGCAATTATCCTGTGGCTAAATGAGGGTTTGAGTGTTATGACGAGTGGGGGTAAATAACTGTGCCTATTGAGGGGTTTTGATTTATCATCGTATACCTTAAAGAGGGTTTGAGGATATACCTATCCCTGATATACTATACCTATAATAATGAAAATGTATAGCTGATAATTTACGGATTTTACTATAATTTAAATAAAATAATAGTACTATAATATGTATTATCCTACATTTCCAAAATTGATAATAATATAAATTAATCGCATAAAATATCATTTTTTGTTGATTCATAAATTTTAATTTTCTCATAGCCAAATATTTAATTAAAAATATTAACGGATGTTCCTATGATTATTCCAAAATTACTAATTTTTTTTAGCTAAAACTAACCAAAAATTATATAATTTTATTGGGAAATTGTACGATTTTAATATAAAAAATTAATTTTGAACCAATTTCCCATGAATAATCATGAAAATTAATTTAAGCTAAAAAGGGGTATATAAACGACTATATTTTGGCTGGTAATTAAATTAATATAAATACTTAGGTAATTTTATTAAATTAAATTTTATTTAAATATAAATACTCAAAAAATATTTTATTTATTCTCCTAATTAATAATCTGTTATCCAAGCCACCTCTCCAATGCAACTTTGATTTTGAGAAACTTGAAGTTCCATGTAATGATAAAATTATTCTTATGGTAAAAAGCTTCAATGGAACGGTCTGATAATTTTTATAAAACAACCTAAACTATGCGGCAATCCC